GGGTCCGGGGGGCTTTCTCCAGCTTGAGCACAGCCACATCCCACCCCGTGGTGTGGGCTTTGCCCCCCCCTCCGGGAGCTGTGAGGCCACGCGTGGGGCAGTGCACTAAAGAGGCTCTGCAAACCCTCTCCTGGCACCACGCGTGTGCGTGGACCGGGATGTAGGGGCCGCCGGAGCAAGTTACCTTTCCCCACTGCAGCGCCAGTGGGGCTCCGGGGCGATGCTCAGGGCGGTGAGCAGAAGCAATCGTCTCTGCCAGCTGAGGAGGCTCTTGTGGTTGTGGGAAATGCGAAAGGGAAAATATTATGGCCAAATTTTGAAGTGGCTCCAAGCGGGCTCCAGCTCCCAGGACGCCCGTGCCCGGCTAGCAAACCTCTCCCCTGGGCAAAGGAGGGGCGCGCGAGGGGGGGCGGCTGGCCCAGGCGCTGCGTGGCCCTCTGCCACTCCGACAGTCTGATCGCTAACTGACTCTCTCTTCCTTTGAACGCAAGGGCTGGATATTGCACCCAATGCCATGGTCCCCTGTCACCTTAACACCTTTGAAGAGGCATGAAATGATCTACTGCCCTTTTGTCAGTGTCCAGATGGAGCCCAGAGCACAGAGAGGGTGGCACGGTCGTCCCGAGCCATGCAGGACGTGACTGGCCTCGCACTGCCCAGGCTGCAGGCTTGCCACCAGCCCAGACCATCCCTTCTCTGCTGGTTTGAGTGGGAGCGGCTGGGTGAAGAGGTGGCTGCAGCAAGCGCAGTGCTGGGCTGTGTGAATCCTGGATTCCGGGCTCACAGGAAGCTGAATTTAATGTCTCTCATGAATTCCTAAGGACAGGATAAGCCAAGGATATCTAAATCCTTTTCAAGGATTTTAATTTGAAGGATGGATTAAAACACTGGCTGGGAGTTACAAAAGACTAGTGCCATAAGCAGTTACTAATAAGAGCTTCAAACCAAAGGAGCAATAATGCAGCTTGAAAAATTCTAGTTTTGTTCTGTGCTAAGTAGCAAGATTAATTTTTGGAAGGTCTTTTTCTTCCCCATTCAGGATCCTGATTCACTTTCACGCGTCCTCTGCTTCTGCCTGAGTACAGCAGCAGATTTATCCCTGGGTAAATTGTTTCCCAAAAGCTCGGTATTTTAGCCTGCGTTCTTCCCAGACCAGTAATAGTATAAGGAATCACCTGCAAGAAAGCAAACAGCCTTTCTGAGGGCAAAGAGCTACCTGGCAGCTGGCTGGGAACCTGTTAAAACCATTCCGGACGTTTGCTTTTCCAGCGCCAGGGCACAGTTTCAGTCTCAGTTTTGCAGCGTCAGGGTGGAGGAGGCCGGAGGGGATCTCCCACCACTCACAGAGGGCTTTGGTTTCCCTCAGCCCCGAGGAAATCCCCGGTGCCTGGGAGCCGAGCGGCCGCGGTGCACGCACAGCCTGGCGGCAGCTTGCAGATGCATTCCCCTGGGAGATGCTCCGGCGGAGGCTGACATCCGCAGGGAAAGTCCTCCCCGATGCCGAAGGACCCTCTGCTCACAGGTCCCACACGTTGGCCCCTTCTTGCTGACACGGCTGTGCCAGGGCTGGCCGGGGAAGCCGCAGACCTCAGCTTCCAGCAGAAATAACTGCAGCATCTTTTGTCAACCTCGGAAGCTTTGGCTCGTACAAGAGATGTGGCAGAGTCGTTATCCTTCTCCGCTGTCTCTGCAGGTATTCAGGTCTGACAGCATAGGAAGCTCTTTTAGGCCAAGGGTTAAAATATTTGGGGAAAAAAACCCTAATTAACATTGGCAGGAAAATGCCTGTTTCATTTGGATTCCGGGAGTCCCCTTTGCAGCTGCTGTGTTATGGCAGTTTAAGCATGACAAGGGCTATTAGTGAAAACTCTTTTTTCTTTTTGCCAAGAAATAAATCCCTTTTTGTTGAAGCCAAACATGTTCCAGGTCAAACACTCAGCTGGTACGAATCAGCACAGCTCCACTGAATCCAAGGAAGTGCGGCAGGAGACTCTGCCCGGGCTCCCTGCCCTGTTCCTACGGGGGATGTCAGTGAATTCGAGCTGGATTAAAAATAATGTTCGTTATAAAACTAGGAATCCTAGAAAATAATTTGTGGGAGAAAAGCTTTTAAGCAATGGCTTAGTTCCACCTCTTCTACAAGTAAGTAGTTGGGTTTGAGAGTCAGGATGTTGGTTTTTACAATTAAAATGAATGGGAATGTTTGGTGCCAAATTCCACTCGGAAGGTTTCCTGGGCGGGGGGAGCTCCTGGGCACACTTGGCCTGTTCTTACAAGAAAGCAAAGCTGGGCACAGCCCTGGAGCCGCCGCTCCTTGCTCATTTTGCTCCCTCACTGGGACTCGGGGCAGTGCTGCAGCAAGATGTTCAGCTCCAGGGATGCACTATTCTGCCTTATGTCCCCATGCGGCTCCCAGCAGAGGTTAGAAATACTTGCTGCCATGGTCAATCCACGGAGCACCCATGGCAGATGTCCCCTCGCCCTGTCCTTGCTGCAGCTCTGCCTCTGGGCACTGTGGAATGATGCGAGTCCCGGCTCTCGCGGGCTGGCGACGACCTCCGGGGACCAGAACGGCCACGGCGGACCCCGACTCGGCTGAAGGCTTTCAGCTCAGCTAATGCGTGTCACCTCCAGAACGGAGGTTGGGAAGGGAACTGGAGGAAAGGTGAAGGGCACAGTCGGGTGTTCCATTTTCTACAGCGGGACAGGTCCAGGCAGGCACGCCGAGCATCCCCGCTGCTGTTGAGTCAGATGCGTTTGCTTGCCCGGACAATGGCTCAACCTCTCCTTCCAGATGCGCGGTCAGGCCCCGGGCGGTGCAGCGAGTCCCTCACCCTCGGACCTCCCTGCTGCCGCTGCTGCCAAAGTCCCAACTCCCCGGTCCCTGCTCCGACCTGCTTTAACCCCGGCAGGCCCTCACGTATTGCACACAGGTAGAAACCAGGCAAAGGCAGAGGGAAGGGTTCTACTCAGGGGACAGGAATGAGTCCAGACATTCGTTCCTCCTGCTGGTGCTGCCTCCCACCCCCAAAAGGGACCTGCGCTTCCCACCAGCCGTTTGCCGCCCCATGAGCCTCATTAGCGCATCCCCCTTCCCCAGGGGGAGGGTTCGGGGCACAGGGGCTCCCCAGGGAGCCCAGGGCAGGGATAGATGTGTCTCTGCACAAATGTGTGCCAGGGAGGGGTGGAAAGAGCCGAGGCAATTCTGCCCATCGGTCTGGCAGGAGCCCCCCGGGTGTAAATACCCGTGTCGGAGCCCGGCTGGGTGGGAGTGCTCGCCCTGCCTGGCTCCGGCCGCAGCCCGGGGACGGTGCTCTCCTCTGCTGAGCTACGGGATGTGGGTTGTGGGATCGGAGTGACAACCCATAAATCACCCTGGGGACAGGCAGGAAGAGGTGGACGGAGGGGCGGCGTGTCTGACTCTTCCCACAAAGAGCTCCTTGATACCATCGAATGCTCGCCCTGCTGAGACCCCGGGGCTTCCCGTATCGCTGCTCCGCACGCTGCTGCTGGCAAGCAGCTGACTCAGCCGATAACCGGAGGATTACAGCTCCTCGTAAAACACAAGGTCAAAAACCTGTAGGAAATTCAAAGCATAATAACCACCCCTAACAAAGGGCTGGGTACAGCCCCGACGTGGAGCGTCGAGCATCGGGGTCCTTCCACAGCTCTCCTGGGGGGCAACGAGGTGGGGGGTAACGTGTTTCCCCTCCACCCTGTTTCTCGGGAGTGTAACAGGAGTGAAGCGTTGGGCACGTCCTGCCCTGGGCAGCTCCAAACACTCACGGCCATCCCCACAGAGCCCCTGCTCGGGTCCCTCCTGTCCCCGTCCCACCTCTGCCACCCCGGCTGCTGTCACCTCCACAGGTGAATGCACCCTTTCAGCCTGCACGCTAATGGCAGAGGTGACTGCTTAGGATTTCTTTTCGTCTTTCACCTAAAAGAAATATCCCTGCTTTCTCCTGCAGAGCTGCCTCTGGAGAGGGCTCATGAGAGCCTTTCCCTCTGAGATTTTGCCTTGGCGCTTAGTAGCACCCCCGGGTTCGGTGGCGGGAGCCACAGTTTCAGTACAGGGTTGTTTGGAGGAGGCACACCCCCCCACATGCATAAACACAGCACTCGGGTACATTTATAGAAACTCACCAAAAAAAAAAAGAAGCCTCCCTGGGCTTCCCATTCCCAAACCCCTCGAGCAGCCCGAACTCAGGGCTGGGATGGAGGTGAAGCCCTGAAGCAGGAGAGGGCTTTCTCTCACAGGAGCGTCAGCCTTCCCCATGCTGTCGCCTCCCAGGCAGAGCACTGGGGCTGTCCTGGGCTGGATCAGTTCTCCCACCCACCAGGTACAGCATCGCACCCGCCCCGCACTCCTCCCCGCTCCATGAAGCCTCAGGGGGCAGAAGTACGGTAAAAGTGGGCGTAATCTCTAAACGAGTAAGACAGCAAAAGATAATTTATGTGTCTAGCCTCTTTTTCTTCATCATCCAACACGGTGATACAGAGAAGCTAGAAAAACAAAGTCCTTCAAGCACTTTTTAAAAGGAAAAAAAAAAATAACCCCAATTTTCTGGTCAAACTTTCAAAGGCTCAAGGCGTGCAAGCCACTCAAAGCTAATGCTGGTGAACTGTGCAAAAGTGCTGGAGCGGAGAGGTAGGACACAGAGAGCTCCTCAAACACGAACGTCAAATGTCTCCGTCACTCTGGACCCAAAGTGCTGTAAGTGTTCCCTGCTGCAGGACGCGGTTTGCTTCAGCAGCTGCAAATTCACCGCGTCTCTCAAATACCGGGAGTGGGGGCAGCCCCGCTTAACCTGCGGGAACAAAACCAAAGGCTTTAGGCTAGAGAGGGATTGCCTGGGCTCACGCAACCCCAAACTACAATTTGGGCTGGGCACCAATCTCTGGGCTTGTTCTGTGCCTTTTGGGATAAACTCTTCATATCAAAATCACACCAGAGCTTTCTTAACCCTTATTCACAGTGGACACGCTGCAACAACACCGTTGGTGCTATGAAAACAGGGCTGGTGTGAATCACCCATTTCTTTTTCTGCCTTTAAAATCTGATCTGAAACTCTTCGACATTTCGATAATGCAAATCAACAATACGAATATGCATAAGATCCTCAAAAAAAAGGTTGCAGAGGAACAAACCCAGGGGGTTTCATCAGCAGTAGGATGCTGGGTTTTGCACAGTGTTTCATCCAGAAATGGAAAGCATCCACTGCTCCGTGGCAGTCAGCAGCTGCCAGTGCTGAGCAGCACAGGAAAAAGGCTGGAAAGAGGGTGTAGGCATGACATAGCATTTGCAGAAGATCATGCTTAAACTTCCAAGAAAGAAAAACCCTCTTCTGCTGCCAGACCATGATGAAAACTCGGTGCCGTTAAGCCCCCCGTGTGAACCAGTCCATGAGTAGCTGTGGTGGTGCTCAGCAGCAGGCACGGCTCTCCACACCAGGGCTCATTCAGGGACTCCCAGGGACCCTCCCAGCCCTTCCCAGGGCAGTGAGGGCATGTCCCGGTGCTCAAAGCCATGTCTCTGGGTGCTCTTACTCACCGCTCGATGATGCTGTTGTTGAACTGGAGATCACAAGATACTGACCTCATCTGCTCCAGCAGCTCCTGCATCCTGCCGGGGACACAACCAGCCCCTTACCCCGCTGCTGCTCAGCCTCCCGCTCCCCGCGGGAGCAGCTCCTGCGGAAGGGTGGGCTGAGCCGGCAGGGACACCCCACGGGTCACCGAGCGGGGATCGCACCTGGCAGGACCACAGCGTGCACAGCGGGGAAGGGCTTAACGCAGACTGTCCCTGCGGCCACCGAGCCCTCGCCCTGACGCTCGCCCCGTTGCTCAGGCAGAGGATGGGCAGCGGGAGGTCCCGCTCCTCCCTGGGGAGCCGCGCTGTCCGCAAAACCCTCTTCCAAGAGACTCACCGAAAAGCCATCTCCTGGTGTGCCTGGCTTAGATGGACGGGTGAAGGTGCAGGAGGAACCGGGGCCAAACTCTGTTTCTCCATCTGGAGGAATCTGTCCAGAGCCTGCGGAGACGGAGAGATTTGGCAGCCCCCGGCTGGGTGCGGTGGTCTCAGCCCCGGGTGCTGCAGTGCCCGGACCCTCCCTGCAGTGCTGCGAGTGCGGCGTGTCCATCCCGGGACAAAGCACTTGGGGAAATGACACCTACACAGTCACACCCAGCACATCCACCTCTTCACACAAAATACACTAACCAAAGGAGCGGGGCATCTACCAGGTGGCTGTGCTGCAGCTCGTCAGAGAGCCCATGGGGAGAGCTGGAGGTGAAGCATCATCTTTTCTACTATGGCAATTCCTGTTTATTGGGTACAGATTCCCCAGTGCTGGACAGTCAGCGGGACCAGGGGTGCCAGTCACAGCATCCCAGACTGGTGGGGGCGGGAAGGGCCCTCTGGAGCTCCCCCATCCCCCCCCCCGCCAGAGCAGGGGCACCTCCAGCAGTGGCACAGGACGGCGTCCAGGCGGGGTTGGGATGGCTCCAGAGGGGGAGCCCCCCCCCCCTCTCTGGGCAGCCTGTGCCACTGCTCTGCCGCCCTCACAGCAGAGAAGGCCCTCCTCAGGTGGAGATGGAACTGCCTGTGCTCCAGTTTGTGCCCGTTACCCCTTGTCCTGTCACTGGGCACTGCTGAAAAAGACTGTTCCCATCCCCCCGGCACCCTCCCTTGAAGGATTGATCAGCGTTGATGAGATCCCCCTCAGTCTTCTTTTCTCCAGACTGAACAGCCCCACGTCCCTCAGCCTTTCCTCTTAAGAAAGATGCTCCAGTCCCCTCATCATCTCCGTAGCCCTTTGCTGGACCCTCTCCAGCAGTTCCCTGTCCAATGAGTTTTACCCGCTCCTTCCTCTGCTCATTAGGGAAAGCAAGCTCTCCGGCGCGGATCCCCTACAAAGCTGCAGCAAGTTATTTAAAAACACTGTGGTGTTTCCCTGCTCATGGCGGGCATTGGGAGAGCGGAGCAGCAGCGTTATCTCGGAGCAGGGAGAGGCTGTGCGGCAGCATCCCCGGGCACCCACGCTCTGCAGGCAGTCCTGGCACTCCATCGTCTCCACGCTGCAGGCGCTGATGTGATTGCTGAGCCTCTTCAGATTCTTCTTTATCTCACAAACTTTCCTAGAGAGAAAAACAACGACAAAATTTCCAGTCGGTGTTCAGCAGCAGCGTGAATCGTTATATTATTTTTTTGTTGTTTTATTTTCGTATTGCCTTCTGCAAACCTTTCTGGATCTAAGCTAAAATCCTGAAGGAAAGCAAATGAGTCACAACAGCGTTGTAATTACGGCTGCAGCTCTGCTAATAGCCACCATTGGCAAGGTTATCCAAACAATGCTAATAGCAAATTAATTAGGGAAAGCGCCGCTTATGTGAGAGACAGCTCAAACCCATCACTTCTGCCCTCAGTGCTGCACAGGTACGTCCTCTGTCCCCTGCGGTGGACTGAGCATCTACTCAAAAAGGCTCCTTGTTTTTACATTTCTTAGTGCGTGCTCTCCGTTCGCATTCGAAGTGTATGAAAGGCAGAAAGGCAGAAAGACATTCCCCCTCACGCACACCCGGGGGTCTCTCTGCAGAGGTGATTCTTCCCCTCCACTCTGCCCTGGGGAGACCCCCTGCAGTGCTGCTCCAGTGCTGGAGCCCCCAACATAGGAGAGACATGGACCTGGTGGAGCGGGGCCAGAGGAGGGCACGGAGATGCTGGGAGGGCTGGAGCCCCTCTGCTGGGAGGACAGGCTGGGAGAGTTGGGGGGGGTCAGCCTGGAGAGGAGAAGGCGAAAAGGGGGAGACCTCAGAGCCCCTTCCAGTGCCTAAAGGGGCTCCAGGAGAGCTGGGGAGGGACTCTGGATCAGGGAGGGGAGCGATGGGACAAGGGGGAACGGTTTTACACTGGAAGAGGGGAGATTGAGATGAGATAAGAGGAAGAAATTCTCTCCTGTGCGGGTGGTGAGCCCCTGGCGCAGGGTGCCCCGAGAAGCTGTGGCTGCCCCATCCCTGGAGGTGTTCAAGGCCAGGTTGGACGGGGCTTGGAGCAACCTGGGCTGGGGGGAGGTGTCCCTGCCCAGGGCAGGGGGTGGCACTGGGTGGTCTTCAAAGTCCCTTCCAACCCAAACCATTCCATGATTCTACTGACAGCAAAGCCCAGAACAGGCTCTGCCGCGGGGGGTGATGGTGTGGGCAGTGCCCCCCCTCAGCCTCGGGAGTAAATCCTCCTGTGATTTTTGGGGGAACCAACTGCCCCATTCCTGCCAGGGGCCCTGGGGCAGAGGTGCCAGGCATCCAGCAGGCACGCTGTGAGTTGTATAAAAAAAAGGTTTGGTTTGGCTTTAAGAAAAAAAAAAAAAAAAACAAACCAAAAAAAGGAAAGAATATTTAAGGGCAACAGTCCACCTCCAGTCCCTAGAAAAACAGCCACCGCACCACAAACCCTGGCTGCTAGCAGGAAGAAACTCAAAACAGGACAATTAAAACAGAAATAACAATAAATTAAAAATATCCAGGTGTGACTCACAATGCTTTCTCCCTAAGGACAGAAAAACAGATACAAAAATACTCCAGAAAAACATAAAGAAGTTTTTTTCCCTCCCTGTGAGCAAAGGTAAGAGCCCGGCTTTAGTGCAGACGCGGCTCCTGCGCTGCACGGATTTGGTGGGGCCCTACACCCGGAGGGGATTCTCACCCCGAGACAGAATTCCCGCTGAGGCCAAGGGGAGATGTCACTGTCCCGCTATGGGACGCGGCTGGAGGCGACTGTGGGCAACAGCTTCTGTGCCCAAAGTGACACCTGCCCGTGGGTGAGGGTTTGCAGCGTGGAGAGCCCCGGCTGAGGCTGGGAAGGGGAGGAGGCAGAGCAGGGGCAGGGGGCTGCTCCTGGGGCATTCCCGAGCACCTGAGACAAATTCCTAGCCTCAAAATCCACCCCCCTGTAGTAAATCCTGTGCACGGCTACTCCACACCAGAAATACGGACCAGGTCAAAAGGTGGATTTAATTCTAAGGCATTATAGAAAACCATTCTCCTCCCGCCCACGCTGGCAGCCCAGGGGGATGGATGCCGCTCTCTAAAAGCAATCTTGCCATAAAAATCCAATTTCTGCAACATCCTCTTCCCCCAACTGCCTCTCCCTCCCCCCTGCTCGTTGCTGCTGCCATAGGCAGTGGATTGTGCTCAATCACTGCAAGGTAATTTCCTCTTTGCATTATTCCCCAAACACCATTTAACAGAAAATCATTCCTAATAAGTAGATCTCTTTGTCCCAATAGCAAGTTTGCCCTGATAAAATAACCTCTCCCCGTCAGAGAGCAAGGAAACCGGCTGCTTGAAGTCAAGCTGCAACTTTAGAGGGCTTTTTTTAAAAAAAGCCTTCAAACAAGAGGGCAGAACTACACGGCACGGGATAAGAATGGCGTGCACAGCGGGATTTCTAGCGGTCACACGGAGCTGCTTCTTTAAGGTCTTATTATGCCTTTACGAGTCCCTCGGCAGCAGTTACCAACAACATCATCTCCATCTGCATCCCATCTCCATCAATAGCAGAGAGCATTTGGAAGCTCTGGTTGCTGTTGGGTTACTGGAAAGTCCCCTCTCCCATCCCTGCCAGGGTCCAAAAGCCACAGCCCCAAATTCCCGGGAGAGGGCTGAGCAGGGGTTGGTACCTCATCCTGCTGCCGTGCAGGGCCAGGGCCTCCTGGTACCGCTGGACACAGTCATCCTGGAAAATCAAGAGAACCTTCCTGGCCAGATGCCCTAAATTCACCCTAAAAAAAAAAAAAAAAAAAGAAAAAAGAAAAAAAAAGAGAGAGAGAACACTTATTTCCTTAAATCTATGAAAATGAGCATCCCGGTTCACATGGCAGGAGACCTAAAACTGGCTCCCGAATGCAGGGCTGGGTGCTCAGGAATTAATTTTGCATGAGTGCTACAGTGGGGAAAAAAAACCCCACCGGAATTATGGCAAAGAGGAGCGGGAGGTTTCAGGGGCCGGGGGGAGCCAGCAAAGGATGCCCAGCCGGACTGTCATCCCCACCCCCGGGGCACTTCTGAGAAGTCTTTGCCGTGGAGTTCAAGGCAAATATCCAAGGTTGAGTAAAGATCAATAAAGATATAGGAGCCGCCTGTTAAATTTCACCGTCCCTGGTATATACCGAAGTGTGCATTTTATTTCTCGCCTGTGTTAAACTCCCCTGGTTTCAGTGGAAACTAAAAAGAGGATTTTTAAAGGTACAAAAGCCATCAGACACTTTACTCCCACTGAAAGTCAAGCAGATATGAAAGCATGGACGCTTCCTAAATCAGCACCTCAGAGAATAAATGGCCACAAACTGAGTAAGGGGAAGCAATAGCCTGAAACGGGCTTATTCCCCACAGTCCCACGCGGGGATTTGGCCCAACAGCAGCTCCCTCTCCCCACGTCTGCAGAGGTTTTCTCATATCTTTGCCTGAAATAGCTTGTAGCTGGAAAAAGTTTGCTGGGAAAGGTCCCGCATCCGTGAACCATCACAGAAGCCACTGATGGGTGCCCTCTCTCATGGTCAGTGACCCAGGAACGCTGCACGTCCCCGTAGGGTTCAACTGGAAACACCAAACACCCGCCTGGCCGCGGCGTGGGGCAGGTCCTGGAAAGGGCAGAGGGGTGGGACTCACTTATCCAGCTTGTGTATTTGCTCCTCGTTGTAGCCCAGCCCTGGGGACGAAAGACACCCGTCACCTGCCAGAACGCACTTTTTTTGTGTTAATAACTCAATAAACGGGCAATTTCACAGCACCCAGAGATCACTCAAGGGGCTTTTCAGGGCTGCAGCCCCTGGGAATACTCACACGGCACAGAAATCTCTGCTGACCCCAGCAAACTGAAATAATTTGGTTCCCCCCTCACCGCCAGCGCAGGGACATTCCCGCTGCAGCCCCGCACCCTGTGTCCCCGGGGCCGCCGTCCCCCTCACTTACGCGGACACGTCCTGGCCTTCTTGAACTGCTTGTAGATCAGCTGCATCTTCTCCAGGCAGCACTCGATCTGCCGGATGCTGAAACGGGGAAGGAGGCGTGAGGCCCCGCAAGAGGAAGGGCACGAGGTTGGGGTGAAATTAGCACTTTGGGGTGAAATCTGAACGCGCCGTAAGTCGGGGACGCTGCTGCCACCCATGTCTGTACATAGGGACATCACACAGTGTTACCCGTGCGGGCAGAGGGCTGTTAAAAGCCGTTTGCGGCGAGGGACCGTGCGCGGCTTTTTGGGAACACGCAACGACGTCTGCTCAACCCAGCCGAGAGCAGCAAAGCCTCGGCAGGGATTGCGGTAAAGTTGGCGCCACAAACCTTTTGTCTTCATGCACTTGTTGCCTGTGCTTCACCAGTTCGGACAAGATGCCGTCCAGCGCCCCTTGCAAGTCAAAGATGTTGTGGGAGCACTGAGAGAGCTCCTCGGCGACCTGCGGATGGGGAGGAGCCGTTGGGGCTGGCGGCTCCGAGGGCTGCCTGTGCCTGCGGATGCTCCCCGGCCCCGCACGGAGCCGCCGCGGGGGCTCACCCTCTGCAGCCTGGTCTTCACCACGGCCACGTCCTTCACCCCGCTGCCTGTGGGAACAGCCTCGTACCTGAGGAAAGGCAGAAAATGAATATTCCTTAAGCAGAACATAAGCCAGAGGCAGCCGTCACCTGGGCAAAGAAAATCCATCCCACGGCAGAGGCAGTGTCAGCATCCCTGGGGGAACTGGGCGGTGGTTTCGTCGGGCGATAACTAGCATTCAGGGTACCAGATCTGAGCCCCAAGATGCAAAGTGCTGGTGCGGCAAAAAACTCGCCCCATTGTGTCCAGTTTGTTCCAAGATCGTTAGCTTCATATCCACTGGCTTCACGCCAGATCAGATGTTGTCTGCCTCCCTGCAGCTGGCACGAGAGTAACGCCGAGCGGTGCACGCTGGCAAAGTCAGCAGAAATACTGATGCAGACCGTGTTGGAAGGGATGGATAAGCCAGCAGCATCCAGCTGCAGCATTAGCGCTCTTGGCACTACAGCCCCGTGCTAATCCGGCTGAAGTCAATGGGAACCATGTGTCCCTATCTTTTTAGATGAAATGGAAATTAAGAGACTTGCTAAAATGAAAAGAATAAAAGAAGAGCAACCCAGCAGCAAAGAATTTTCCACTACAACAACAAAAGAGAAAATAACTCCCGGTTACTTTAGATAAAACGGGTTCAGCTTTCCCTGGGGCAGTGCGGGTGGGAATGGGCGCATCGCTTACGGGGAGGACTGCCCAGGGCTTCTCCATAATTCAGCCTCCGGTGAGCACTCCATTAGTGGAGCCTCTTCAACAGAGACAAAAGCCATCTCGTGACGGAGGCTGTGGCGGGGGGGACGCTGGCTCAGTGGGCACGCAGCGCGATGGGCTGCCGGCCGCCTTCCCCGGCACTGCCCGGTGCTCCCGCGCTCGGCGTGCCGAGGCTGTTTGCAGGGAGCAGGGTCAGCGATGCCGGCCAGACCCCGGAGGGGACCTGGCAGCTGATGCCATCCTGGCTGTTATTTTAACTCTGCTGGCAGCAACAGCTCTTTTTCCCTTTCCCACAAGCTGGCAGCAGCAGCCCTGCCTTCTCCTCACGCTTACTCTGTGGCTCACGGGCTGCAACAGTCTGAAAACCCCTGAGCAGGAGCCAGGGAGCAAGAACTAATTCTGGACTGCAGCGAAACCAGGGACTGATGATTAAAAACTGAAGCAAAGAGGAAGAAACAGCCGGGGCACATTTCCCGCAGCCTCCACGTACAGTGAAAAAGCTTCTCACCTTCCAGCTACCAGCTTATTCCTGGAATTTTATTTATTTCTGATTATTCAGGCACCGTTGAGAGTCCTATATCTTATCTGCAGCCACCTCAGGGCAGCGCCGGTGCCCGCCCAGCCCAGCGCCCGCATCCCCGCGGCTGCAAAGCCGCCCCGGCACAGCCACACTTACAGCACGCGGGTCTTCACCTCAGTGAGCTGCAGGCAGGCGAGCACCGAGAGAGCCCCTCTCCTCTGCTCCAAAATCCTCGAGCACTCCGTTTTCAGGTTCCCACTGCCAAGAGAGAAAACAGCCCATCAAACGCACGGTCCCCGGTGGCCCGACCTCCATCCCGGGGACAGCCACGCATGGTGGGTGGGTAGGATGGAGCTGGTGGCTCCTCTCTGGCTGCTCGTGGGAAAATGGGGGGCTGGATGCACCTAAAATTGGGTGCTGCTGGGGGGCAGGGGGGCTGTCACCCCCTGGGCACTGTCCTGCCACTGCACAAGAGGTTCCTGCCCCGAAGGGAACGGGGAGGACGGTGAAAAGGCACAGTGATAATATTAACAGTAATAATATTGATGCTGTTTTCCTCAGCACCTCCTAAATTGAAAAAAGTGACTCCAAAGTAAGGAGTGGGGGCAGGAGCGTCCTCACAACACTAAGCGGTATTTTCCAATAGGTCCCACCTCCTCGCAGCCTGGCACACATGTCCCCCGTAGTGTCCCCTGTATGGGGGGACACGCTGGCCGTCGTGCTGTGCTCCCTCCCTACCCTGCGAGGGTACGTGGTGGCCCTGCACTCTCTGGAGGTGGCTGGAAACCCACGATGGGTTTAACTCCGAACACACAAAGCTCTCGGTGCAGGGAAGGGACGGGTCACCCCCACTGCTGCCCGCGACCGCCGTGGCTCCGGCACTCACATCACCCAGTGGAGACCTCTCGCCAGCAGCTCCCGGCAGCACCGCAGGGCTTGGGCGATGCGCAGCGTCTGGTGCACGGCGCCCACCGCACTCTGCGAAGGAAAAAGCACTGCCAGCGGCTGCGCTTCGCCGGCCGGGGCTCCCCCGGGCTGCGCTGGTACCCCCACCTACCTTGGCTGCGCTGCAGTCGGCCACCACGTCCACCTTGGGGACAAACTTTGGAAACTCAAGTGCCGCTGGAAAGACAAGACAGCGGTCACGGGGCGTTGGGGAGTCAGCTGCGGACCCACAGGGACATCTCACACCCGCCGAAGCGAACCCCGCAGCCGCTCAGAATTTCAGGCACCGGAGCAGCGGCGACGCTGGAGGCTTCGTGCAGCTCTCCAGGATATTTTGGAAACGTGGTTGAAGGCACAAACTGCCTACAAAGCCCAGCGTGGCCGGCAGCCGCGGAGCAGCAGCACACGGCAGGGGAAAACTGCCCTGAAACCTCCTAATCCATCACCCCTCCACCTCTTGCTGTGCATTGGAGTCTATCAGGATGATAATTGAAGAAAATCTCTGCAGTGGCACCCACCCTGCATGCCGCGATGTGTCTCCAAGCCAGCGGTACTCACGGTCTCTATATCTGACTCCCACCACGTCTTCTGGTTGCTCAGCGGAGCTCAGCAAGGTCAGAGGGTTGTGCTCTGTGGTTGTGCAGAAGTTATGAGCTTGTAGATTAGGATCCAATTCATACAGATGACCTTCGAAAAAATATTCTTGATGGTGAGGGACTATGTTTGTTTGTTTGAAGACGGCATCTAAGAACTTGGTGGTACTGAAATGAAAAAGAAACGAAAAGATGGGGAATAAGCAAGGCGGCGAGCGCGCAGATTTCCATCGCTTTAACAGCCTGCCACTTTCTTCTCACAGCAAAACATCTCAGAGGCTCAGGGGGGTCCCTCGGACAACCTCCGTGGGGGTCTCCATGGGCCACACCAGGAGCCAACAGCTCCCGGTCAGTGCACTCCCCAGCAAAGTCTGGTTTGAACCTGGTTTGTTTTAACCTGGTTTAACTGGGGTGCAAAGGGATCAGGCGCTCCCCCCAGGTTCACTGACTGAAACGAGGGGCTGAGGATCCTGAGCTCAATTCCCAGATTCGCTTTTAACGCGGCCTTGGCATCCTTACGTGTTGTAGGAGTGGATGTAGATGCGATGCGAGGAAGCCTGCTGCAGGGAGAAGACATCAACCACAATCCTGTGCAAAATGTCGTTGGTTTCTGCAAAAAACTGGTCGAATCCCCAGCATTTCTCCTGATCCGCCTCCAGGATGTTAGCCAAAATGGGTATCAGCTGGTCCTTCAGCCCCCTGCAGCAGCAGCAGAAGAGGTGTTTGCACAGACTGGCGTAACCCTGAGCCGTGCGGGGCCGGGCAGAGGTGCAGCCCCCCTCCTGCGGCTGAGCCCCCGCACCGTCTCGCCGTGCTGCCTCGCACCCCCTTTTCCTGGCTGTAAAGCAGCGACCTGGTGCGAGAGCTGTGACATGTGCAGATGTAAAGCTCATCCGCCCCGTTAAAACTTCCCGTGCCCTCTGAGGCGGGATGCCCTCTCCAGCCACGGCGCCCGGAGGCGAGGCGGGAGCTGAGCCCGGCGAGGGACACTCACACCGAGAGGCGGCAGGTGACGGGCAGCTCGTAGCTCCACTCGATGGTCCCATTCTCCTGCCTCTGGACCCCCGCGATGGCGCCGGGAGGCTTCTCAGTGGTAATTTTATACCTGTTGAAAGGAAATTGCTTGCAGCTGAAACGAGCCCGGTGATCGCTGTTTGGGCACTGCGTCCCTCGGGTGCAGCGAGGAGGGAGAGGGCCGAGCACGGACGGGCTGGGAAAGACACGACTCACAGAAAGAAAAACATGCGCAGGGGGAAAACGCTTCAAAAAACAGTCAAAAAGTTTCTAGCAGATGTTAACCCTGCCTCCTCTTCCAGCTGCTTGGCCACTAAGTCACAAGGATGCCTTTTGAGGGCAAATGTGGTAAATGGGGCACAGATCCTTCCCCACGCTGCACGTGCGCACTCTCCATACTGGTGAGAGTATGGAATCAGCCACGGGCTAACGTTTCGGGGCTCTCTAGGTGATACGGGATTAACTGAGCAGTAGACTACAGCTGATAGTCCCAGGGTGCTGCTGGCATGCCCCAGGCCACAGCCAGGGTGTCCTGCAGCCTCCAGGGCCACCAGCCCTGGTCCCACCTCCCCACACAGCAGCACCCAGTCCTGCCAGCCGGACGCGGTACCTACATGGTCTCCTTGTTCCTGCGAGGTCCCCCAAAGGGGACAAGGGGGAGGCTGCCGGTGGCAGCGTGGTAGAAGGTGACGCCGATGCTCCAGAGGTCGACGGTGACGCCGTACGCCTTCTGCTGCGGTTTGCGCAGGACCGCTCGCTCGTACATGTCGGGGTGCTGCAGGGACGAAGCAGAGAGCAGCACTGCCAACGCGCCCCGCGGGTCTGCAGCGGGCATCAAGCCTTGGGCGCTGGGATTGGGAACTGACTGCTCGCTTTGGCCTCTTCTGCTGCTGGATCCTCCAAACAAAACATCACCTGTAACTCTCCAACAAAAATGCTGAGCCCCCCCTCTTTGAAAAATGTGGCCCCTTTGAGATTGGACTCTCCAAGACTCTGCTGCTCTCTACAAGTTGCCCAGCCGTTGGATGAAGGGATGATGGGGACCGGCCTCCCCCAGGACTCCCAGTGGCCACCAGACCGGCAACATGCTGTACTCACGAGATATTCCTCCGTCCCGTAGACAGACACAAACTTTTCATCATCATCCAGCTCTCGGGCGGCCCCAAAATCCGTCAGCTTATAGATGCTCTGCCCATCTTCCCCCATCAGCCGCATGATGTTCCCGGGTTTGATGTCTCTGTGGACAACGCCGTTCTCGCGGAGGTGGTTCATCCCTGCCACTGGGCACAAGGCGGGAGGGCAGTTTGCTCCAGAGGGTTTTGTTTAAACATAGGAACGTGAGAAGGGCCGGAGAGGGGAGAAGCCCCAGGGCGGGTTGCACTTAAATGGGGACCAACGTGACTCTGGGGGAATGGCGAGGGTGAGCGAGCACACGGCGGGGCACTGCCCTCATCCTCCCCCACCGCGGGGCCCCACAGCTGCTTCCCGGAGCAGCTCTGCAAGGAGAAACCCTTCCCCCGGACGCAGAGCTCACAATCCCACCCCGTTTGGGGGTGCGATTTCTCACCGCTCAGCCCAGCCCTCACGTCCGTAGCCCAGGGCTGGTGCCCGCAGGGTCCCACTGGCACCGCGAGGTCCCCAGCCCGCAGCTTCTCTGCCCTGGGCTGCCCTCGTGGTGGCCCACAGCTGCCCATCGCGGGCTGGGGGCAGAGGGACTTGGGGGTTGGACTAGATGATCTCCAGAGGTCCCTTCCAACCTTGACCGTTCTGTGATTCTGTGGACCCCCGCACTCACCCACGCACTGCAGCACGATGAGGAACTCGGACTCAGCCAAACCGAAGGCGTTCGCGGGGTCTTCCAGCACATTCAGCAAGCTGCCGCTCGAGCAGTACTCCATCACCAGCACCTTCTGCTTGCTGCTGCCCTGCGGCGGGGAGCAGCCGTGAGGGCTCGGCCAGCCCCGTGTCCCCACCGGTGGCCTGTGTCCCGTCCCCCCATCCCCCCGGCAGGACCAGGTCCCCTCCCTTAGTCGGTGGGTCCCTGGGTTTCTCCTGCTCAGACAAACCAGCGCTGGAGAATGTCCCCGCTGTGCCGCACGCCTGGCCAGGGGACATCAGCGGGTCACATCCAAGCTCCAGCCCAGTGGCCCAGTGTCACCAGTGCCCCCGGGGCTGAGGCTTGGAGTGGAGCCGGAGGGCGGTGGGAGGAGAAGGCAGCCTGGGACCACCGCTCCCCTCCTGCAGCTCAGACCAGTTTCCCCATGGTACTGGCCCAGTCGGCACAGCGGGATTCTGAGCTGAGGTCCCGCTTACCATCTCCTCCACGGCAAATAATTTGACAATGTTTTTATGGTTCAGCTTCCTCAGCATCTCAAACTCTCTCATCTGGACCTCCTGGGGCCGGAGGTAGCTGGCATTATTAAAGACCTTCACAGCAACCAGCTCCCCTGATTTCTGGGAAAAGAGGAAAAAGAGAAAAAGGAAATGGGAGGTGACGCCATCCACATCCTAAGCAGCTCCATCAGCTCCGTCACTGCTCCCACATCCCGCTCGGGATGCAAACTATGCTGACAGGATGCCATGTTTTCTCGACGGACATCCCACGGCCTTCATCTTCTCCACGGCAAACACCAACCGCTCTAATTCACCTCCCTTTGCTTCCTGTCCCTGCGGCCCACGTGCTACATGGCAGCGCGTTTATTCAGCTTCATCGAAAGTTTGTAGCTGGAGCCGAGGGCAGCAGCCCCCCCCGCTCTCTGCGGGACGGGGCCGTTCCCAAACCATTGCCGCAGCCGCCCCTCCTGCCCTGCGCCCCGCGGAGACACTTCGCTCAACCCACTTCAAAGGCCGGCGAGGCGGGAGTCTGCTCCAGCCCTGGCAAGTGTTTGCATGAAATATGCAAATCACCCAGGACGGGGTTTTCAAAACCTCTGAGCATTCCCCAAAAAACAGCTTCTTCCC